AGGCTAGTAATGCAAAAATGCCCCACTTTCTCAAATTGATGAATTCTGAATATTCCTAGAGTATATCGACCATGAGATTCCAGCTTCTTTACGAAAGCATTGTGGTATCACTAAATAAAAAAACAACTATTTTCTAGTGGAGAAGACAACTTCAGAGAACAAAACTTGTATTTCTCTTCAACTTTTGCTCTGTGTACTTTGCTTACAATATGGATTAGTTTATATAGGCAGTAGATTGCCTTTTCATGAACCTAACATTAAAATAGCCATAAACCACAAAATTAAACTTCCAACTCTTGGCCTCTCATTTTCTTCTAACTCTTGGCCTTTCACTTTCTCACAACTCTTGGCCTTTCACTTACCTAAAAACAAGACTGCTTAATTAAGACTATTAAATATAAAACTAACAAACCATTTAAAGTTTATTCAACAAAACTCCTCCATAAACTTAAATGCTTCTGCCATCTTTCATCCCAAGCATCTTCTTGCAATTGTTGAGCAGCACCGTCGGTAGTGGCTTTGTGAAGATGTCCCCGACTTGCTCTTGACTGGTCACGTGTGTTAGCTCCACATTTCCTTCTTTTACTTGATCCCGGATGAAGTGAAATCGGACGTCAATATGCTTGCTTCTTTCATGATTTACCGGGTTCTTTGCTAGCTCTATAGCCGACTTATTGTCAATTCGGATCACAGTTTGGCCGACTTGTTTTTCCTCCAGCTTGCTTAGCAAATTCCTGAGCCACATTGCATGACAAACACACCAAGATGCAGCTACATATTCAGCTTCACATGTCGACAGTGTCACAATAGGTTGCTTCTTCGAAATCCAAGTGAATGCCGTGTTGCCCATGAAAAACACATAACCAGCCGTGCTCTTTCGATCATCTACGTCTCCACACCAATCACTGTCAGAATATCCAATCAACTTGTATTTTGCCGAGCTCGAGTAGTGTAACCCATGTGAAACTGTACCTTGAACATACCTCAGAATTATCTTCACCGCCTTCCAATGTGTGTATCTTGGCTCCTCCATAAACCGACTTACTATGCCGACACTCAACGAGATATCCGGCCTCGTGCATGTGAGATAGCGTAGGCTTCCCACCAAACTTCTGTACTTGCTTGCATCAACACGGTCTCCTCCATCAAACTTAGAAAGTTTTGAACCAGGTTCCATTGGTGTTGAAACCGGGTTGCAATCTTCCATCTTGCACTTTTTCAATTGCATAAGCCTCCTGTGACACGAAGATTCCCTTCTCATTTTGTTTTACTTCCAAGCCGAGAAAGAACTTCATAAAACCGAGATCTGTCATTTCGAACTCTCTTGTCATTGTGCTCTTGAACTCTTGTATCATCTTGGCATTGTTTCCCATAAAAATGAGGTCATCAACATAAAGAGCCACAATTAACAAGTCTCCTCCATTTTTCTTGACATACACAGCATGTTCATATGGACATTGTTCAAGTCCATTCTCCTTGAAATATTTGTCAATACGAGCATTCCATGCTCGTGGTGCTTGCTTCAACCCGTAAAGTGCTTTCTTCAATCTCAACACCTTCTTCTCTTCTCCTGCCTTCATGTCGCCCGGCGGTTGTTCCACATAAACTTCTTCTTCAAGAACACCATTCAGGAATGCCGACTTTACATCCATTTGATGTATTAGCCATCTGTATTGAGCAGCCTGTGAGATGAGTAGCCGAATTGTCTCCATCCTTGTAACAGGGGCAAACACCTCGTTATAGTCAATTCCAGCCTTCTGCTTATAACCTTTTGCAACTAGCCGAGCTTTATATCGTTCTATCTCTCCTTGAGCATTCATCTTCTTCTTGAACACCCACTTCACTCCAATGGGCCGACTTCCTTTTGGTAGCTCGGCTAACTCCCATGTGTTATTTCGGTCAATGGCTTCTATCTCCTCATCCATGGCGTCTTTCCATTTCTTATCTCGGATGGCTTCTTCAAAACTTATGTTCTCAGAGTCTGCAAGAAGACAAACAAAATGTACCTCACTTGTTGACTCATATATGTCTTGTATGCTTCGCATCCTGGGTTGTCGTACCTCGTCTTCATCATCAGAAGCTTCAGGACGGGTTGATAATTTGTGTTGTGATTCCGTCTTCAAAGTTTATCTCGGATGAATTGCTCCAGTCCCATTCATTTGCTTCATTGAGCTTTACATCTCTGCTCACTATGACTTTCTTGTTGACGGGGTCAAACAGTTTATACCTCTTTGTTTTTTCATCATATCCAATAAAAACATATTTCTTGCTTTTATCCTCAAGCTTGGTTCTGAGCTGGTCCGGTATGTGTGCATAGGCCACACTACCAAAAACTCTGAGATGAGCCACTGAAGGCTTTTGACCGCTCCATGCTTCCTGTGGTGTTTTGTCATCCAAGCTTGAATGTGGACATCGGTTCTGCACATACACAGCACACTGCACAGCTTCCGCCCAAAACTCCTTCGGCATCCTTTTGTTCTTCAGCATTGACCGAACCATGTCAAGAATAGTCCGGTTCTTCCTTTCAGCCACGCCATTCTGTTGTGGTGAGTATGGTGCTGTTAGAAACCTCCTTATCCCCTGTTCCTCACAGAACGACATAAACGCTGTTGAGGTATATTCCCCACCTCTGTCAGACCGCACCGATTTGATATAGCTTCCTGTTGCTTTCTCAATCATCACCTTGAACTTTTTGAACACATCAAACACCTCGGACTTCTCCTTCAGAAAGTAAACCCAAGTTTTCCGTGAGAAATCATCAATAAAGGAAATAAAATACTTCTTACCGCTGAAGGAACCCGGATTGATGGGTCCACACAAGTCGGTATGTATTAGTTCCAGAGGTTGCTTAGCCCGGAATCTTGCCATCTTCTGAAACGTGGTCCTGGCATGCTTGCCAAGTACACAACTCTCACAAAACTTTCCTTCAAAGTTTATGTCAGGTAACCCGTCCACCATCTTTTTCTCTGCCAACTTGGTTAGACCACCATAATGTAGGTGACCAAACCGGAGATGCCAAAGTGACGCCTTATCTTCTACCTCGGCTTGTAAACATTCAACCTGTACACATTTCAAATTCAGTTTATACATACGATTCTTACCCATTTGAACTCGGACTATCATCCGACCTTGCTCATCTTTCAAATACAATACCCGGTCTTTCATAATAACCGAGTAACCTTTCTCCATCAGTTGACCCATGCTTAAAATATTGCTTTTTAGGTCGGGTACATAGTACACATCTCGAATTGAGCCAATTAACCCGTCCTTTTGTAGGAAACAGATCGTACCTCGGCCTTTTACCTCAACCTTTGAGGCATCCCCGAACGAAACATGTCCGATTTCCACTTTTATCATCTCCTTGAAGAAGTGTTTATGTCCGCACATATGGTTGCTCGCACCCGTGTCAAGATACCATTCCATGTCATCGTCAGGACTTCCTTCACTGTATGTCATTAACAAGACACCATCCTTCATCTCGCCTTCTGTGGCTAGGTTGGACGTCTCCTCCACCTTTTTCTCCTCTCTGCATTCTCTTGCGAAATGTCCGACTTTGCCACAGTTGTAACACTTGTCCGAGTTACAATCTTTCGCATAGTGACCAAACTTTCCACATTTGTGACACTCGATGTTTGAATAATGTGACCGACCTCCTCGTCGACCTCGTCCTCGTCCTCTCCAGTTTTGTTGATTTGACTGTCCTACCTCATCACTATACACTTCTTGACTTCGGCCTCGACCTCTACCACCACGGCTAGTACCTCGTCCACTGCGGCCACGTCCTCTACCTCGGAAATTTTGAGAATAGAGCATCTTTTCATCTTTAATTGTTGCTTTGGTCTGAAGTGCCTGCTCAAGAGTTTCCTCCTTCTTCTTCTTTCTTTGTTCATGCGCTTCAAGGGAACCCGCCAACTCGTCAATGGTGAGTGTAGACAGATCCTTGAACTCCTCTATCGCACAAACCACGTTTTTGAACTGGTCTGTCAAAGATCTCAAGATTTTCTCCACCACTCTGGTGTCAGGTATATCTTCTCCATTCCGTTTCAACTGGTTCACAATTCCTTGAACCCGGGCAACGAACCCGGATACTCCTTCCGTGTCCTTCATCTTCATTCCCTCCAACTCGGCACGAAGGGTTTGAAGCCGGACTTGTTTAACCCGGTTAGCTCCTCTATAGACATTTGCCAAGATGTCCCAGGCTGCCTTTGAGGTCTCACAATTTGCTATCTTCTCAAACCCGGATTCGTCTACAGCTCGGAAGAGCATGAATAACGCCAGCTTGTCTTTTGCACGCGTCTCTTTCAACGCTTTAGTTTGAGCCGCCGAATAGCCTCCAGTATCCTGTGGTTCTACAAAACCTGCTTGAACATTCTCCCAAGTGTCCTGGGATCTGAGAAGAGCCTTCATTTGGATGCTCCAATTCTCGTAGTTCTCCTTCGTCAACTTAGGTAGTGCCATATCACTCCCCCTTTCCATAGCTTTGATACCAATTTGTGGTATCACTAAATAAAAAAACAACTATTTTCTAGTGGAGAAGACAACTTCAGAGAACAAAACTTGTATTTCTCTTCAACTTTTGCTATGTGTACTTTGCTTACAATATGGATTAGTTTATATAGGCAGTAGATTGCCTTTTCATGAACCTAACATTAAAATAGCCATAAACCACAAAATTAAACTTCCAACTCTTGGCCTCTCATTTTCTTCTAACTCTTGGCCTTTCACTTACCTAAAAACAAGACTGCTTAATTAAGACTATTAAATATAAAACTAACAAACCATTTAAAGTTTATTCAACAAAAAGCATGATGAATATCCAACACTAAAAGATTAAGCATATTAACCAGAGATTCAAGTGATGCAGATAAGCACTTAAATGATTTTCTTGAGTAAAATAAAATTGAAATTATATATAAAGGCTGCACTAACATAGACCACACCAACATACAGATAAATAATTGATTCATCAACTTACGAAATTTACCTTGTAAAGTTCTTCATCAAATTGGCCTAAGTGAACACTCTTTCACATTATTCAATGCTGCACACGACATGAATACTGAATGAAAACAGAGCATGCATCATGATGATGCTAAATTCCCACAATATAAATAAATCTGGCAAATATGCCAGATCGAATTAGAAGTTGTAAAAAAAATAAAAAAATAAAGACACAAGTGAAATCTTCAAACACGGTAACCATTAAAGAATCTCTTCCAGTTCCACATTCAAATCGAATTAGAAAAAGGATAAAAAAGAGAAAGAAGGGAAACTCACAGTGAAGCTGAGGAGCAAGTGAGACCAATGGCTCTACTTACTGCACTTCAAGTCTTCAACAATCCCAATTAGTTTGAGGAAAAAAGAGATTTAGGGAATGGGAAGGAAAAAACTCCAAGCTGAATATTAGTGGGCCCAATCCCAATTATCAATTGTAATACCTTATAGACAAGTTGGGCTATTAGTGGCTCAATCTCCTCTCCTTCTTCTTCAACTTGGTTGTCGACCTTTGCTCAGATAATCAGGTTAGTTCCTTCTCCTTTGCTCTCTTCGTTCAATGCTTCACTGCTTTGCTTCAAAAAAATTAAAAATAAAAAAACTCAAGAAGTTTATGTCCGCACTTGCGGATAGTTTCCCACAAGCAGGTCCGCCATTGACATTATAATTGCTTACAAAATATAGTATACAGTCATTAACAAAGTCCCTTTTCTTTCTCCTTTCTTTAATAAATTCTAACAAAATGCTATAAAAAAATTTGAATGTTACATAAATTAAAAGACATACTCTTAAAATGATGATTCTCCAAGCTTCCACGAAGAATGAACTCATATACTATTAGCCTTTTATCATCTTCAATGCAATAACCAATCAATTTAACTAGATTTAGAAGACCGAGTTCCCCAAGATAATTAACTTCAGCCTGCAATTATACACGAAACAGTGAACACATATTAAGTGATGTAAATCATAGAACTTTGCCAAAATAAAATAGTTTATATTTAGGGTTAATTATTTTGCATAGTAACTTACAGGCCATTCCCTATCACCCTGAAGTCCATTCTGGTTATAAGTCTTCATCAAGAAAATTTTGAGGTTTGAAATTGCTTGTTGCCACCTTGAGCTCATTGAAAGGGAACTTCTGAAGATTAGAATAAGCATTTAGCTCCTCGCTAAAGTTGGAAGAAGATGTAGTAATTCCTTTTAACTTGGGAGATGATCTTGCTGTTCTTGGATTATCGTTTCTTCAGGATACATGAGCAGAAACTGGTTTCTGATATCTAGCATTGTCATTGGTTGTTGATCTACTTCCTTCTGATTTACAAGGATAAAAAAAAAAATTAGTTCAGAACATAATTGTGACACTTGAGAATGAGATTAAGTATAAAGAGTCATGCCATCACAAAAAGTAATGGCTAAACAATTACATTAAAATTAAAAAATAATAAACAAACGTTGCACCTAATATAAGTATGTATTAAAAGTGAATTATTAATTAAAATTAAAAAACGATGTAAACTCTAAAAATAGTAGTTAAACAAGGTATATGTAGAATACCATCTTTTTTGTTATTGCCACTAGAGGAGTCTTCTTCTTTAGCTTTAAACCGCAAAGCCATGCAACTTAACAAAAACCATGAGTTTCTAAATTCAAATCAAGACCAATCGCGAAACGAATATCAACATTCATATATTTTGATCACAGGTAAGAAAAGAGGAACTCACGACGGCAGTGGCATCGTGCAAGACAGAAGTGATGGTTCACTCACCTCTTTCCTGAACACACACGATGATAAAAACACATAAAATCTCATTGAGTCAATTCATCGAACACATCATTCTCAAAACATAAACACATAAGAGAAAGAAGAAGAAGAAGAGAAACTCATGCAATCAGGGTTGAGAAGGGAAACACAACGAGGGCATCGAGAGAAACCGAGGACAGGGTTGATGGTTGGATCTAGGACAAGCTCCCATTGCTTGAAAACTTTCTGAGAATCTGCAAAAATAAATGAATAAAGAAGAAGAAATAAAGAACTCCTAATAGAGATGAAAACCACTAAGAGAGAAACAGATATGAAAATATGCCTGAGTCCTAAATACTGTATAACTCTCTGTAGCGATTAACAATGAGGAGCGAGAAGCACACCGCCACAAGTGTGATCTTCAAACCGTAAGAGGGAAACAAAGTGAATAGCATTGGCTTTAGAAGATGCGGCTGAGAAAAGTGAAGAGATAAGTTAGCATTAACAAAGAAAAAAAAACTAGAAAAAAATATACACTTTTATTAAACAAATTATAACGGTCATTTTTAGAAAATTTACAAAATTTTTAAAATTATAAATATTTTTGGGGTCATAGCCCTCTACAAAATTATAAAAACTGATAAAATTTAAAAATATAGTGTAGTGTTCCTTCAAAACGCCAGAATGCACATAATTATTGGAGGTTTTTGTTAGAATTGAATATCCACACAGATGCAAGAGACAACCAGACTTGTGTATCTATAAAAAAACTTTTCTTTTCTATTCTTGCTTTCTTGCTCTTTCTCTTTTTCTCTTGATCTACTTGATCTACATTTCATACAAACTATTAAAGGCTATTTATAAGCTATAAAACTGACAGACATAACTCCACACATAACACCTCATTACTTTATAACTGACATAACTGACTCATTAATATTCCAACTGACATAACTGACTCATTAATGTCCACTAACACAAACTAAGGACGTGACTCTTCATCGGGAAACTCTTCACATTTCTATTTTATATTTTCTATTTTTATCTTACTAAAATTTAACCCAACAGTTTTATTAACCTCCACAAATTAAACATTTCTTTGTAGTGGCTTGCCGTCTTGTTTTCATGAAAGTAGGCCAAAAGTTTTGGACTTATATTGACGAAGATTTTTTATGTTTCACTGATATTACATTCTATAAAGGTATGGTATATGTTGTGGGAAGATGGAATACCATTGTGTCCTTCAATCTTTGTTATTCAGATGACCCTCGTGGTATTGAGAAGATAATTCCAAATATTGTTTTACAAGGAGTATATGATCAAACTTATTCGGATAGGGCCTATCTTGTGAAATCATTAGAAGGAGACTTATTGATGGTTAGAAGATTTTTGGGTTATCACCGCCGTGAAGATGGGTATTCATATAGCAGTGGTACTGAGAGTTTCGAAGTGTATAAGTTGCAACTCGATGTCCAAAGTGGAAAGCTTTTGCAGATGTCCAAAGTCAACAGTTTGGGAGACAATGTTCTGTTCCTGGATGACAGTGATTCAATTTCTTTGTCGGCTTCGTATTTCTCCAATTGTCTGCAAAAGGATTCTATTTACTATGCAGATGATTTTTATGACGACCACCCAACTCCTTATCCTTCTAGCCCATTTGATAATGGAATCTATAATGTAAAGGATCAAAGCTTTGCTAAACATTACCCTTACGATTCTTCCTTCGAGCGTATGCCACCTCCATTATGGGTTTTACCACCATTCAAATGGGATTGATTAGTTCACCGAGGTATACTATGGATTGTATCCTCTCTCTTTTTTGTTAACATGGATTGTATCCCTTTATCACTTGTCAAATAATATCATTCAGTGGCTTTAGGATAATATTACTAGGAATATAACATTGTGATGGTAGGATTAGTATTATTAGGAAATTGTGTAAGCTTAATCTTTATTGTAGAGATGTGGCAAACTTCCTTTAATATTAAATTTAAGAACAACGTAAGTATATTATATGGATTTTATAAGAGTTACTTTGTAAGAAAAGTGATTGTCTAATGTTATAGAGATTCGTTCTACGTGCCGTAATTTTTTCTTTTTCTTTTTTCTTCACAAAGTGTGGGTCCCACAAAATATTGTGTGTGTAAGAAAGTTTGTTATGTCATGTTAAATGACAAATGTAAATTCCATATTATATTGCTTATTATCAACAACTTTTGTCCTGCCAATTGTTTTCTTTTTTCAACTATCACATTCCTTATGTGTGGATATTCTAACATGTGTATGTAAATTACCCAAACCTCCCACCACTAGATCAATCTTAGTGAGTTTTAAATCTGTCTCTTAGATTTAAATGAATATAGACCACACATATCACCGCACGATTATGAGCATTAACCTTTGTCCCCAAAAAACTATTTATCATTGACTTTAGTCGTACAATGTGAATCACTACAGCTGCACCCTCTTAATGTTTTACATTCAATACTCTTGTAAGGTTGTGAGATTGTGAACAGAAAATATGAAGTGGAAAGATTGTAAGTTTTCTTTGATACCGAAACATGTTTGAGCTTTTAAGAAAAAAAGAAACGGAACATGATTTTTCTATATTGGACCCAAGTATGATTTCTATATTGTTTAAACTCCAGCGCTCTTGCGTGAGGTGCTATCACTTATGATTCCAAAGTCCGGCATCATGTAGCACAGTGAGAGATTTATAACATGATAGAGCTACATCAAATAAGTATACGAGAAAAACCAAGTGCTCTGATTATAAAAAGAAAAAGCCTAACTCTATTTGGACTTTGAGCATGACTGGTCCGATTAGATAATCACTGGTTCAGTAGTTGAATTGGTCGTAACAATTACACCACCTTTTTCAAATTATGTTTTAGAGCTATTGGCTTCTCATCTCACTTAAGTAAACTGTTATGATTACGGCAAGTGAATCGGCGGTAGAAGTAATAAAGTGAAAAGTAAAGTATTGATCTATCAAACACTAATTTCACTACGCGATCAAAGTTGGATCAACAGTAAAGATTTTTGTGAATGTGATTAAAATATAAAAACATGCGCTATTGCTACCAAATAATTATCAAGAACAAGAACTCAGACTAAAAAAAGTTGAATAAAGATTTCTTAATGAATGAGCCGTTAGGGTTTCGACTTTCTCAATTTCCTCCTAATTAATCTACCATTTCCTTAAATTAATATTCAAACTCCTGTTGTTGACAATTCATCTTAGATTAATCAAAATTCAATCCTTTCGTATTTCAATTCTTTTACCTATTAAGAATCTCAATCCCTTAGTAATTTTGCTTAGGGTAAGCATTAAGAGCGATGAACAAACACACCATATGTTCTATCCTTGGATCAAACAAAACCTAGCAATTATTCAGATCAGAATTTCACACCAACATCCCTTATTGTCATGCAAAATTCAAATATCCATTCACAAAAGAATTAAGAATAATAGACAGAATAATTGCACAACATGAAATAAGAATATTATATTAAAAGGAAAGAGTAAATTTAGTCAAAATTCAAAAGGTTCCATATAGCCCTAACTAAAAAAAGGGGTTTAGCTAGACATGGCAAATAAAATAAAAACAAAAGATGAGATAAAACTAGTGGAATCTATGAAAAGAGATAAATGATCGATCTTCATGGTGGCACTCCCATCCCTTGAGCTAGCTTTTGGGGTGGTGTATCTCAAGGTTCTTTACATGGTATCAGAGCCTCACCGTCCCCCGCTTTAAAAAGTGAAATTAAAATAAAAAAAAAAGCACAAAAAGGTAAACAAAAAATGGGCATGTGCAATTTCCACGCTTTTAGCCTAAAGGGCTCTTGCGTGAGGGGGCGTGTTGAGATATATAGTCCCACATTGATTGGATGGGCAACTAATATGGCCTTTATAAGGCCTTGAGCACTCCCACCCCTTGAGCTAACTTTTGGGTGGTGTATCTCAAGATTCTTTACAAAGCTTTGACCGTATCTCTAATTCTCAGTCCAAGAACCAAGCGTTTCCTCAGTCCAAGAACCAAGCGTTTCCTCTCCTATAGTCGCTGTCTTAGCGAACTGCCCAACCCTCTTTCTTTTAATAAAAGTCTATGGGCTTTTTACACTTGCTAAGTTGCTTGCTCCAACAATGGCCTTCCTCGCTGAATTTTCTCGCTCGAGCGAGCAACACCGCGAACAGCTTTTGGATTTGCTCGATGGAGCGAGCAAGTTAGCAAGCATCACTTAGCTTGAATTTTATCTTCCTCCAGTTACCTTGATCCATCAATACTCTATTATAACAATTTTAACCTGAAATCGATATATTTTGTATCATACTAGACATGAAAACTCCGAAGTCTTTTGCAACTTAACAATATTTTGTAAAACTAGTTGTGTCTCATGTGTGACGTGTGTCAATTGGTTTAATTAATAATAAAAGAGGCTTTATGGTAATTGACGTTTCACATTAATGATAATTGACGTTTTAACGTTTTGCATTATGGTAACGTTTCGCATTAATGATAATTGACGTTTTAACGTTTTGCATTATGGTAACGTTTCGCATTAATAGTAATTGACGTTTTGACGTTTCGCATTAAGGGAAGTTAATTAGAAATAACTGTGATAGGCCAGTTATATAATAGTTTATATGGTCAGTTTTCATATAAGGGTATATGAAGAAAACAAACGTCCTTCTGAGTCTGCCTAGAAAAGTTGTATCCTATCCCTATCAAAGAAGGTACAGAACGGTGAAAGGGTTAAGGCTTAGAGAAAGCATTCTACTGTTAAAGATCTTCCGCAATTATGGACAAAGGTATGTTTGTGTGAAACTCATGAATTCTAAAGATCCTATGTCATGTTCTTGACTGATTACTGTTGAACATGAATTACTGATTAAATTGCTTACATATTTTTCATGTCTTTGACCATATTCAATAATATTTAGCATAATTTTATCCTAAAACATGATAAGTTTGACACTTTACATAAACCAAACAACAGAAAAAATTCACGCATACAAATAAATTAATTAGAGAGATTCTTAGATGATGTGAAAGGAAGAGGTTTTTCTGTGCTTTGTATTGAATGTGTATAGCTTTAACTACACATTACAAATGTTAAAATGGGAGACAATGATAACGCGTGTTAGTTGTGAAGAGTATTTAATGGTACGGAGCATGAAAATTCTCCTTGCTCCCAAAGAACCTTAATTTTTCTCAATAATTTAACTATATTGCATAGTTTGGTATACATGTAGCTTTTCTTGTCTAAAGGTGGAGTTCTGATTTCTGACAGTCAACCCTGGGATCAATACCAGATAAATTTTACAAGAAGTATGAACTTATGTACAATTTTTGTGTTTCGTGAGAAATCATTAAGCCTTAAATAAATATAAGCTTGATCTGTATCCATTTTGGAAGATTAGATGACTATTCATCTACAAAAAGGATGACTAGATGACCTGTGACTCGGTATGTCTGGAGGTTGTTAAATGATTACAAGTTTAGAATTTAAATATATATATATATATATATATATATATATATATATATATATATATATATATATATATATTCCTAACAGATTCAAACTTCTAGGATGAATGGTTCCTTGATGAAGCAAGGTCAGAGGCATAAAACATTTTTTTTCATTGAAAATGGAAAATATATAAACATCCTTTCTTTAGTTCAATGTGCATAACAAATTGCTTTCATGGAATCATTTCCGCAGAATGATGATCAAAGGCTGCTTTCAAATTGAATTCAATAGAACAGGAGAAGATTTTCAAGAGTTTTCAGCTAATTAGACTGATATTTCAAGTTTATATTTTTCAAAAGAATCATTAATGAATCCATACAAGTGCAGAAGTAAACTAGAAGAAGGTAAAAGAGGTTGCATAGGATGAACAACTTTAGCATTTCTTTTGGGGGCATGCAGGGGGAAGATTGTTAGTGCTGGCCTGATGGATAGACAAGACAGAAGATGAAGCTTCTATAAAGTCATTACTAATAGCTTTTCTATGTCCTTTTTTTTCCCGATTTCTGATTCACTTATTTTCTGTTTGAACAAACATTTGGAATTCAGAGTTTCAGTTAGAGAGCACATTAAAAATACAACTCAGAGGTATTTTGCTTCTGCTAGTTTTATCAGCTTCCAATTGCACTTTATTTTTTAAAATATGTTGCATTTGAAATTACTGGAAATGTTGCATGAAAAATATGGATTATAGCTCTACAAATTTTAATTGCTTCATTTCATATCATTTGATTACAAGGATTTAAGGTATGCTCCTTATAGCTTAAATAGAATTGCCACTTCAACTGAGGTGGTGATCCAAACAACCAAATGTGTAAATTAATATTATGGTCCCTGATCTACTATGAAGTCTCTAGTCAATGATGCAGCCCCATCCTCAAAGCTAGATAAGCCACAACTCTGTATCCAATCAACATTACAGTCAACACAGCCACATCTCCCCACATATTATCAAGCCCGAGACACTTAATGGCAGGAAAATCTCTTATCCTACAATATAACCTTGGTCCGCACTCATAAACCTCATTTACCGAGTACTGAACTCCTACCAGAAGCTCATAGCTATAGTGACTAAAAGAAATGTACTTCAACCAAGCTATAAAAGATGGCATTTGCTGAATATAGTAACCACCAGCTAAAAGAAACACCAGCATTGTTACTGAAGCTAGAGTTGTGGCCTGTTTAACATCCATTAGAATGGCACCAAGTGCTAGGCCTATTCCTTGAGAGACTAGCACATTAAAAAGCATGATCAAGAGGGTTAACACAAATGTAACCAGTGAAGGCTTGAGACCACTCATCCAGTAGGTGATGGTTACAAAGATGGTAGGAAGAGCAAGCTCCATTGGTAAGTCCCCAACCATCCTGGCAATGTAGTAGGAGGAGAGATGGTACATGCCTGATGATCGTTCTTTCATCAGCATTGGCCGGTCCAATGGAAATGCAAAGATGGCATTAAAGAGAGGGAAGAATCCCCAGAAGATGGAGAAGAAGAAAAGCAGGCCTACCTGTAATACAAATATAACATTGTCATAAGTACTACTATACTACAAGGGAAAGTAACTTCTTCCTTATTGTGTGTTTAATCCTAATTAAATTGTAATTGAGAATGCAACACAAGAAAATTGGCCACTAATTGATGATTTTGATCCATTGTCCAACTAATATCCATTTATCTATGAATTTTCACAAAAACAGAAAGAAAGAAAAGAAAAACGTAGGTTCACAATACCTGATCTTGTATATGTGAGGAATCAGAATGCCACCATAGAAGTCCTGAAAGAATTGAGACAGACAAGACTTGGAAAATCCTTAAGCCAGAAAAAGACTCATGCCTCCTCTCCTTTAAGCCCCTCTTAAGCAGAACCTTCAATTGTTCCCACCAGCCTGTGGCCCATTGGTTCTCAGTACCTACCAAAAATGCATAAATATCATTTAGCCATGGTACTATTCCATGGCTCTGTTCTTACTGCTATAAAGGAAAAGCAACATCGAGATAACACAAAATTTCACTTACTTCTGGGTGTTCCTGTAGTAAAAAATGCTGGATTGCTATCATTCCGCTGAATCTCTTCCTTGAGAAGAGGGTATAAGTTCTTCTTGTAGGATGAAACTAGGGACTGCTTGATTGAAGCTTGATCCTCATGGTGATCTATCTGATCATCCTGTTTGACATCAGCAACTATGCCTGCAAACCCATAGAATCTAAAGAATTAGAAGGTTCATCTGCATGTCTCTACAAAAATTCAATCCATGTCTACCATTTTTTTCTCTGTTTACGGCCAAATATAATAGAAATCCAAACATAATCATATCCCTGCTTGAAGATGCTTCGACCATCATAATTTCTAGGATTCAAATATCTAGTTTAATTCCAGAAATTGGGCTTAATGGTTAATCGAAATTTAATGTTGGAATTAAATTTACTTTAAAATTGTCATAAGACAGCTAACACAGTGCATAAGGACCAATTGTTATGAGATCGAAGATTAAATTTATGACCATAATGCATGCCACATTATTAAAGAAGGAAACTATTCTGCCAAGGAAGCTTTACTACTAAAATTGAAAATAAAAAAATGAGCCCATCTAATAAAAAAATTGGAAGCAATAAGCACTATCTAATTCCAAATATATACCTATCTTTGAGCATAAACTTTATGTGGTCATGGGAGTTGGACCATTTTTCTTACATAAAGTTTCTCGCGTGTTGATCCAAGTCGACACAAAAAGAAACTCACATGTTGTGAAACCGATTCAACAGAGATTTTGGTGCTGTCTTATCAATTCACTGCTTCTAATGACCCATTAGCAATTGCCACCTTGTAAACAAGGTTCATGGGGTAAGAAACCCCAATCCTTTTGCACCCGTATTATTTAATTTTGAAAACGAACCCTTACCTAATATCGACCAAGTGTAAAACACTCTTTTGAACATCATGCTTGGTGTCAGTTAACTAATGGGCCAATTGTGTTACTAAGAAGTTAGGATGCACAAAATCCTAGACTTTCCTTTCTCACAGTCAAAACCACAAATCATTTGAAAGATAAATTTTTAATCTTCCTAGAATATTAAATGTTACATACTACTTAAGTTCCAACACATTAAATCACTTAATTGTATTTACATTTCTTTTTTCAACTACATAAATTCGGATGTTACCTAAGACCAAAGTTCATGATACAATTTAAATGCATGTAGTACTAAAAAAAATTTCCCTTTTGATATTTTGCACCTAATAAATTTGGTCAAATCAACCACTAAGCATGTGATCAACATAAATTCAAATTTCGTACCTATACGAATGAGATTAATTGAATAATGAATGATCGGATGAATAATATTTAGAAGAAAAGAAAATTGATTGAATCACTTACCGTTAGCAAGGTCAAGAAGAAAATCAGCCGGGTTCATGAAACTGAAAGCGGGTACAAAGCCCATGGACTCAAGATAATTCATGACCCGATCCGCTTGCCCGTTGTAAATCGGGTACCCGTCCGACAACACCACCACCTTATCAAACATCCTATACAACCGGCTAGAAGGCTGATGAATGGTGGTCACCACCGTCCGGCCACCGCGTGCCAGGCTCCGGAGCACCGCTACGATGCGTTGCGCCGTCGTGGAGTCAAGGCCGGATGTGGGTTCATCGAGCAACAACAAACTCGGGTTCACAAGCATCTCCTGCCCGATACTGACCCGCTTCCGCTCCCCGCCGGAAATACCCCGGAAAGCGGCGGTTCCGCCGCCAACGGGGCTGTTCCGGCACCTTGACAGCCCCAGTTCAACGATGACATTCTCAGCTTTCTCCACTTTCTCTTCCCTAGTGAGGCTCTTGGGAAGTCTGAGCAAAGCAGCGAAGGCAAGTGTCTCAAGAACGGTGAGGTGAGGGTATAACACGTCATCTTGGGACACAAACCCTGTGTTGCGCCTAATGAAGCTTGAGAAAGGGTGGCCATTGTAAGTGATGGTTCCGGTGACTTTTCCGGCGAGACGGCCAGCGAGGGCGGTGAGCAGGGTGGTCTTGCCACTCCCTGATGGACCCAGCATTGCCATAAACTCCCCTGGCCCCACTATCCCCGTCACGCCGTTCAGCACTTTGCGAGTTTGCTTCGCCTCTTGTGATGAAGTTACACAAACATTCTTCTTCCTTCCGAGGGTTATGCTATATGAAACATCCTCAAACTAGCACTCAAATATAGTACAACGTTAGAATGCAATAAAAAAAGTGGTTAATGTTTATTAAATAATGCACATGATTAAGTGTTACCAAACAAAAAACGGATAATGAAAGTGTGTGTTTATTAATTAACATGTATGTATTATATATGCATGCGTGTTTGTTGAAAAATTGATGAGTACTTTGAGAGTAACAGGACGCCGAATTTGGTGAGGAATTGAAAATCTTGCTGGTGATTCGGCGTGGACGGAGGTGTTCTCCGGCCGATTTGTGATGTCCGGAGTGTGTGGTGTAATAGTGTTTTGTTGCTGAGGGGGTATCATCTCAGAGATTGGGTGCTGTGGTTGAGATTTTGAGGTTTAGTGAATTGAGGAAAAGGTCGATGGTTAATTTGTGTGTGTGTGTGTGTGTGTGTGAAGAAGCAGATGAAGAAGAGAGTCACGTGAGGGAAGAGTTAAGGTGACTTATAAAGTGAGAGAAGGCACGAGAAGCACACGAAGGAGTGATTCAAAGATAACAATATATAGTATTAGGAAGGGGGAACAACTACCTACTACTACTGTGTTTGGTGGATTAAATATTCTTTTTGTTCCTAAGCGAATTTCACAATATCCCGCTCTAGCAAATAAAAAGGCCCATTATTGTCCCTAAGAAATTCAAAATAGATCTATTTTAGTCCTTTTAGAGATTAATATGGTCTTTTTTGAATTTGTGAGAGACCATGATTTCAACTAAAAGGGTCCATTTTGAATTTCTTAGGGACCACGATGAATCTTTTTATTTGCTAGGGAGTAAAACGGGCGTCGTGAAATTTGCTGAGGACCAAAAAAGGGTATTTACTCAAAAATAAAAGAATCAATAGAGGTTGTATGCATTTTAATAAGGGTTCTTTTTTTCTTGTGTTTCAGGAATTTCAGAAAAAAATAATTATATATCACGGATAACATATAATTATAAAAGATATGATAAAAAAATTAATATTATAATTATGTATTATTTACAGTACATTATTATTTTATTTTTTAAAATTTATAATTATACACTATCCGTAGTCTATAATTATTTTTGTGTTGCATGAAAATTATTTTTTTGCCTTTTATTAATACTTTTTTATGGAATAAGTAAGAAGTTGGGAAAGAACATGTGAGTTTCTCTCTCTCCAATTTTCTCGTACAAAGATATATGTAAAATAAATTATAAAGACATAAATGTAGTAATAACATTTTTTATTAAAAAAATGTGGCTGGGTCATATTTTGTTTTTGCTTTATATCTATTTATGATTCGGATTCAAGTACAAAGAATAAATCCTTGTATAGCAAACCAAGTAATATCAATAAGAGGTGTTAAAGTGAGGAATCCGGCCCGTAATTAATCCGTCAAAAAATAAGTTAGCCCGCTCTATTTTATTTTTGAGAGTAAACTAAAAAATTCTGCCGATCCCATCTCGATTGACGAGTGGTGTGAATTGGCCCATCAACCCAAATCTGTTTTACACTAACCCGTTTAACCCACCATCAATCAATCCACTAAAAAATGAGTCAATCTGTCTCATCATGCTTTTGAGAATGGTTATAAAACTCAGCTTGTCTTGCCCCATTTTTGACATGCGGGGAAGGTCAAAAATTTGGGTCGAGCCCTTTTTGTTTTTGCCGACAATAATAGCAACATAGAAGTGAAAATTTATTTTGGATTATGTAAAATTAATATACTTTTGCACATCTTAAATTTGTATAAATCATATATATATATATATATATGTGTGTGTGTATGTAGAAGGATATATTTATCACCACATCAGTTTACCACCATTACAACCAACCTAATCATGTTGATTTTTGTCAATGTAACAATTATAATTTATTGAAAATTATTGGGTTGATCTTATTAACTAATTATTAATTCTCAAATAATTATAACCGTTAGATTGACGAAAATTAACGGTTATTAATTAAGTTGGTTGTAAGGGTGTTAAACTTTTATGATCATAAGTATATTATATATATATGAGGTAGGATCATTTAGCACTGGTGTCAAATTTGAAATTTGACACCTCATCTGAGAGCCGTTAGATAAAAAAAATCAACAACTCTAATTTGTAAGTATGTGACACCATTGATCTTTTTTATCTAATGGCTCTCAGATGAGGTGTCAAATTTCAAATTTGACACCGGTGTCAAAGGATCATATATATATATATATATATATATATATATATATATATATATATATATGGAGTTTACATTTCTGCAGCTGTTGTACGTGCAGCAATCAAATACTTGCCATATATATATTTGAAAACATTAAATGCGGGAAATCATAATCATACAAAGGATGAAAGCATTAAATCTAGTGAATCATAACCATACACCTATCGTTGTTGCACGTAAAGCGGCTGCATAAATGATTTTATATATATATATATATATATATATATATATATATATATATATATATATATATATAGGAAGGTTATATTTACAAAAAATTTGTTTGTAAACTCTTACAAACTATACTGAGTATGACCGATCATACTTCAATCAAGAGTGTATATATGACTGATCATACTTAGTGTAATTTGTAAATGGATTATTCCTCACATATATATATATATATATATATATATATATATATATATATATATATATATATAATGATAAAAAAGGGTTATTTAGTCCGAATTGATTATGTGAATCACTTAACGCAAGACTGCATGAAATGAGAATTCCTCCGTTGTAACATCTTCGGTTTGCATAGTTAGGAGAATCAGACAACAATTTTTATTAGTAGAAGAGCTCCTAATTAAAACTATATTTTCATATTCCTAACTTCAGCCTTTCATTGCAGGATATCCTTCTTCTTCTTTGTGAAGGGTGTGTCTCAGAAAATAGTGGAACATCTTTGGTACTACTATCATAATGAGTATTGAATATAATTTTCATTTAAAATAAAATCATAAATTATATATTTTTTTAAATACTTAAGTATAATATTAAAGTTATTTTTTTTCTTTTTTAAGAAATATGTCAACTAATATATTATATTTCTATTGATAGAATATAAGTACTACGATAATATATTAGTTTTTTTTCAAAAAAGTGGAGGAAAGTAGAGTTCCTGAAGTTTATTATTTTTTTTATTTTTTTTGATAACACCTGAAGTTTATTTTAGGTATAATAAGAGTAGGCACTGTCTTGCCAAAAAAAAAATATATATGAAAGAAAATGATTATAAAAATAAAAGTAGGAATTTGCATTTGTCATTTAACATGATACAACAAATTTTCTTACACACGCAATATTTTGTGAAGCCCACACTTTTTGAAGAAAAAAGAAAAAAAAAATTACGGCACGTAAAACGAATTTCTATAACATTACACAATCAATTTTCCTACAACATAATTCTTATAAAATCCATAAAAATAATAGAAATTTGATATATTTTATATTTGATAAAAGATATACTAAGTGGATATATACATTTACTGCAAATATTTTCGAGTTTCCAAAGATCTTTATAGGTGTCAATTACCCATTCATCCATGGAAGTAGTGGCTGAAATTGATGTCGTCTTTCCCATAAAAGGCATTGGTTGCAGCATGGAATCATTATCATTGAAGGTGCATCTTTAGCAAACTTTTTCTTGAATTTCGAATTACGGATTAGGTGTTTTTGTTTCAGAAATTATATTAGTCACCTGTCAGCTGATGGGAGAAAGCTATCTTATTTTAAATACAAATTATCAATTCATATTCCTTTGTAAGTTATTTATCAATTTAATTATTTCACATTATTTATCAATTTATTTTAAAATAATGACACTTTGGTTAATCAACCTCACATTTCCCTAATTTTAAATAAATATAAAATGTCCGTAGTTTATATAAAAAAAATTATTAACTTTATATAAATTGACACATACTTGAATGTGATGCTCTAATTTAGGATAAAAAAATGTTGAATTGAAGAAAAAAACTTGGAAGGACGAATAATATATATTCATAAAAAAGCGTGGATATATTCTCACTATTTCTGTATTCCATTTGGTGATTAAAGAGAAGCTTAAAGCGTTTTCCGAAAAAAAAAAAAAAAAAAAAGCTTAAAGCTGATATGATATAATATATAATATTCTGAAACTTTTGAATATATATTCAACTCATAATTGTTGCCACGTGTCAAATTTAGTAATTTTTGTTATTAAAAATGATTAAAACATTGCATGAGATATGAGACAAAGAAAGGGGCCCTCTACTTAAAGAATAATTCTTTTTTTTTTGGTATCCTAAAGAATAATTCTTATTTATGTAGTACAGGTGGCAATATTTTCATTGTTAAAAATATATTAAAATAAAGTCCAAGTACCCATAATGTGATTTGTCCTATTATCACTGGTTTTTTATGGGTTTTTTTCTTCCAAATTACATTATATTTAATTAAAAAATTATATAATTTTTTTTTTACAAATTAAAGTATTTTAACAATTACCTCTCTATTTTTTTAATAATAAATCTATTATTTTAAGGATAAAATTCAAATACCTCCTCCTGTCTATTTTGCCAAGCATCCCCCTTCCTTCTTTAATTTTCATCATTATTTAAAAATAAAAATAAAAACCGATTAGGGAAAATAATTTGTAAGATTGCTGGCATATTTGTCAAATCAGCTCCCATTGTCGATACGAAAATGGTTCTAAGTACTTTAATTTTCTTTTATGTATAGTACTCTAAATCAAAGGAAATAAAGAACTTTAATATAAGAGATAAAGACAAATTATTAAAAAAAAAAGACAAATTATTATATATATAAAAAAAAAAAACATGCAATGCTATGTACGTATTTGAATTATAAGGAGAAAAGTAAAAACATTTTGGCTTAATACTTAGTTTCAAGTTTCAAGCTTGTGATGTTATATTAATTTTTTTAAGGAAAGACAAGCTTGGTTCTGTGCTACGAGTATTAGTGTAGTTTTATATATCAAGTTTTGTCACCTTTAATGTAATTTTTATTTTATTTTTTGGGTATTATTTAATTTTATGTATATGTTTTTTATCATTCTTTATTATTTTAGTTTACACATTGATAAATTAATTTTTTTTATTACGTGTTTTATTTTATTTAAAATAAATTAAAAATAAAATTGATAAAAGGGTTTGGTGTTTGTCATTTTAAATGACATAAGTTATGTCATTTTAAGAGAGATAGATACAAGGAATGAAAATCATGGAAGAGAAAGTGAGTGGTTTTTTTAATTTAAATTAAAAAAAATTCTTGTGTCTATCTCTCTTAAAATGACATAACTTTATGTCATTTAAAATAACAAATATTTTTCCCTTGATAAAAATATAAAATATGAGAATTTTCCTCTCTTTTTTATTAATTAAAAGGAAAAGGTTTACCAATGCCTCTATAATTTGCTTCAGAATCATCTATGTCCCTGTGTTTTTTTATCACATATATCTCTATGCTTTAGA